AAAAAGGTTTGCTCAGCAGAAATACAACAAAAACAACAGTTACTGAAAAAAATCAGGTGACAGAGAGACATCAAGCCAAGCTGTGCTGTTCATTGTGCTAGGAAAGGAGTGGGAGAGCATCTCGTGTCTTTGTCATCTCCTGAAAGATTCTAACTGGGCAAAGTGTGTGTAGAAACAAAACGAAATCTCTCCTAGCACATAAGCATGCAGATAAAGGCCATGCTTTGTCTGTTTAAGAACTTGTAGAGGATAAAGTCTTCAACAAAGTGATGAAATCACAAGAAGCTCTTTTTTTATTATTATAATCTCATTCAGAATAGAATGAGTTTCACACTAGCTTCCTTCTCTGAGCAAGGTACTCTCCTGCCCTTCTGATGTTCTGTACACTCTGCAAGCTCAAGATTTCTCCAAAGAAATCAAATGTTTGACTGGAAATCACAGAATGGGGATTGAGGACCATCGAACACTGTGCTACTACTGGAAAAATTAAAGTTGTTTTACACTTCTTTCCTCTGGCCTTTGCCCTTCACATTGTTTTTTTTCTGTCTGCTTTTCATGTCAGACTGATTTTACCAACGTCACTGAGAAAGACCTAGCAGCAGACAAGTGTTTCCCAGCTGTGATCTGTCACTCTCATTCCCAGCTCCGAATGCATGTGACACAAGAGCTTCTCTTACCCAGAACTGTCCCAGGGTGTTTATATGTTGGGATTTCAGCAGTGCATCATCATCACTGTCCATCAGGCTCTTACCATGGACCACGGCAGCGTTGTTCACCAGGATAGTGATATCACCCACCTGCAGATAAACCAAATGGCTTGTCACAACTAGCATCTCCTCACGAGTGAGCAGTCACCCTTATAGCTGAGCACCCAGACCTGCCTCAATACATCACTATTTTCATAGCATTTGATGTTCTTCCCTAGAGCCCTTGTAATCCTTCTGGACCACTCCAGATAGATAGCCAGACTTTGCACAGCGTAATCTGGATGGCCACACTTCTTGTTCCCCTTTTTTCTATTATTTTATTTATGATTTTATTATTTCTAAGTATTTCTTTCCTCATCCAGCAGGAGCTGTGCCCAGGCTGTGCCCCCGCGCTGGCCCCGGCACCGACCTTCTCGCGCACGGCCTTGGCCTGCCGGTACACCTCCTCCCGATTGCCCACGTCACACACGAAGTAGTGGCACTCTGTCCCCATCAGCCTGATCTCCTCCGTGGTCTCCTTCAGGCATTTCTCAGTGCGACCCCACAGGATGATCTGCAGCAAGAAACTTTTGTTAGAGTCACGTTGCTTCTGCTTCAAATCTAAAATAATTAAAACATGCTTCTGACTTCACCAGTTTGGTGAGTACCTTTGATGTGTGTTCACTGCCACACATCACACCAGTGCCTGTTGCATTGCTTCATTTAAGACTAATGATGATTTTCTATTACATGGCTGTGGTAGCTGTATCCCATCCTGATACTCTGTTTACAGTTTCTTTACAAGGAACCCAATAACTAACACAAAAAATCAGATCTTTAGCCTAACATGACACACGTGAACGCTTGGCAAATTTACTGTATCATGAAATTGCAAATCTATCCCTGCTTTTGCTACACACACACAGAGAAAGATAAATTTCTTCTAAAATCACAGACCTTCCTGTATATCTAGTGTGTTATTTATTTACTTCTTCTCCTACATTTGGAGATAGTATCTGCTCTGCAGTAAAACATTCTTTTTCAGCATACCATACATAACTATTTCTGATGCTGTTTGCAGGCTGGTGTCCTACCTGCATTTCAAACAAGAGGTGCATCCTAATACAGACATTTAAAGTGACAAATTTCAAGCATGAATTTATTTTGTGACTAAAACATGCAAGATCGCACTTGCCACTCCCATTTAACAAGGAAAAATGTTACAATGCTTCTTGTACAAAGAACAATTCTGAATATCCATGGAAATAAAACTTTCAAATCATGTGGCATGGGTTTGATACATAACCAAGACATAACCAGCCAATCCCATACGTTTTTCTACACCATCACAGAGGGCAGAAATAGAAATAACTTGAAAAGTCACCAGGTCCATTAACTTCCACTGTGGGCCTTTGTCCAGTATGATTTTTCCAACTGAGACAACATTAGTCTCAAGTGCTTCCACTTTCAAACATTTATCTACAGCTAAACAGATTTAACCACAATATTTTTTTCCTAGTATGTAATCTTATTTTCTATTTCTTCTAAGGCTACTGGAATGAATGTAATTTCATCTCTTGTTACCCCTCCATATATGAATCAATCTACTCTTTTTGCTAAATAATAAGCTTCTTCTGAGCATTCACCGTGTTATGAATGGTGAGTGACTTGTCACTCTGCAAAAAATAGATTACTGAATGGAGTTTGTCACTGAAATCAGTGAGTCAAACAGCAAGATCCAACAGAGCCAGAGGAGGAGGTTGCCACTGCTCATGGTTGCAATGATGAGCACTGATAACATGAGATTACTGTTTAGTACTGAAAAAATAAATGAGGACACTCACGCAGTCAAATGCAGGGTTACTCTGATCAGGGGACTGGAAAAATGGGCTTAGAACTGTTCTGAGAGCAGCAAAGTTCTCAGAGCAGTTTCAATCTCCAAGCAGGGGCCGTATCACCCGTGATCCAGGACTGCTTCACACCACGGCACTGGAGATGAACCTGACAGGTGTATGGGTTCTTTTAAAAGTTCAAAATAAGCACAGTGAAATGCTGAAAATTTAATAATATTTGTTTTTCCAAAAGTTGACAGAACAAGAAACAAGAAGGTTAAATTATGTCACTCCATTAGTAACAACAACTTAATAACAAGATAAACATAAAGATTTAGGATCTAGGGTTGTTTTGGGACCTCCCTACAACAGATCTCTTGCTGAGAGCTTTAATGTGCTTATTTTTAAAGACTAGTTAAGCTTATCTTAGAACTGGTACTAAAACTAATCTCTGGCAGGGTCAAAGAGCTCTTCCAGTGCAACTAAGCAAGGCTAAAATGAAGAAGTACCTGGGTCCTCAACCATTTGCTAAATAAGTTAAATTTACAATCAATCCCATTTATAAATCACTGGCCCATCTGTGAACACAAACACACACAGCCTGACAGGCTTACGTTCTTAAAACCACCAAAGGACTAACAAGTTGGTTAACCAGAAACTTCCAAGCATGTCTAAATACGCCAGAAGCATTTCATGGGAAATCTGACTGCAGGGGAAGCAATTCCCAAGGAAAATTCTGTGACCAGATTTAAAAACTGTAATAAAGCATATGGCTAAAAATGTGCCTTGTGTATTGGCCTGTCTTCAAAAGTCTCAGCATATCAGCATGGCCCATGAGGCTTTGGCATCTACACAAAGCCTGTAAAACTGATGGCAATTTACTCGCTTCTGAGCTCAGAGCTAGACTGGGTGATGTTTCTTATGCAGACTCTGCAGACTTGAAGGGAAATCAAGAACATGTGAGAAATTTCACAAGCTTTCAGGAAATATTTACAAAATACTGTTCAGCTATAAGCATCCACACTTGCTTGCTTTCTCTTTCACAACCTACATCTCTGTGGAAAGGGGAGAAAAAACAGCACCACATGTCAACTGCAACCATCAAGTCTGATGCCCACAGAGTCTGCATCAGTGGGAACTTCAATCCCTTGGCAGGACTGCATCAGTCAAATGCAGACACTAAAAAGTTAACTGAGAAGTTGAAGAGTGGTGGAAGGTAGGAGCGAGGAGAGAAAGAGAAATAAGCTGTCAGACAAAGGGAGCAAGGCCAGACACTGGGCTCACATACCCAGCACTCCAGCGTTTCACACGGCTATTGTGAAATAAAAAGTGAATCCCTCATTCTTCACTTTAATCTGAAACATCCACACAGGCTCCAGTTCCCAAGAGCTGCCACTGCTGCACTGCATGGCAGGAAACATACATGGAAGAAGAGCTAAGCAAAGGACAACCTGTCAAAGGAACATGTCTGTGATGCAGCTCTTGGACATAGCATTTTTTTATGCCCCAACAGTTACTTTGGGACCTTCAATAGCCCACAGGCAAGTCTTGCAAGGTGACCCCACTACAATCTGGGCCATCTGGGGAGGACAGAATTTGCTGGCTATCCTGCTGACAGCATGAACTTCAGTACTGATTTTTCTCCATGGGAAGTTTTCGTGCCCTTGGTGCTGTTCACACTCAGGTGAAGGCTCAGCCTGCGTCAGAGGAAAGCAGCAAATAAAAGGCCATTCTTTCATGAGAGGTGAAAGTTCCCTAACGACACAGTGGGAAGTGGGGTTTCCTGACGTCACTTCTGTTACCTTTTACAGATGAATAAAACTCAGTACAACATGCTTTTGGTCCTGATTCAAGCTTGACTGCTCCTACAACATCATAAGAGGCTTTCAAATTACGTCTTAGATCTGGCCAAATTAAAGTGGCCCGGGCCTCCCCCTGGCCATCAGATCTTACAGAGAGACAAGACTTCTGGTTGCTGCACTGAGTCTCGTAGTTGAGGCTTCTGTTGCTCCTGAACTCCATCTTTACAGAGGGCTTTGGCTCAGTGTTTCTGGGGAGACAATGCTTCCCTATTCTTTTCTTGCTTGCAGCAGTTTCACCAATGCTGCTCTAGGTTCTTACCCTACTACTGCCTCCTGAGATTTTTCTACACCCTTACCCATCAGTCCTCTGCTCTCCTGAATTCACCTCCTTCTGCAAAATCTGTAATTTGACAGCCTGCTGCTTGGCCCTCATAAACTTGTGTTATTTGTAACATACTCACTAATCCATTTGCCAGGGCAGTTTAGGAGCTGGGGTTCCCAATGCTCCTGAACAAACCCTCCTGCTCCCTGTTGAACCGATGAAGGGCTGTGGGCCTGGGCCTGTGTGCTGCTGATGCCCTGGGAGCTCCAGTCAGCCTGAAGCTGCAGAGTTGGCATTTCACTTCCCTTTATATGCAAGCAAGCATGTAAGGAACTCTCATTCTATCTTTTGCACAGCCAACATCAAGAAAAGCCTCATTTAGCTTTATGCTGAAATGTTAGGATTTGAGGGCTCTGCATTTGTAAGGAGCTAGATCTGCAGTTTAGGGAATGGTCCATTTTATTACTTCCACATGAATAGGAGGAAAAGCTTCTTCCCTGTGAGGGTGTCAGAGCCTGGAGCAGCTGCCCAGAGAGGTTGTGGAGTCTCCTTCTCTGGAGAGATTCCAAACCTGCCTGGACATGATCCTGGGCACCCTGCTGTGGGTGAGCTTCTGGGGCAGGGGGGTTGGATGAGATGATCTCCAGAGGTCCCTTCCAACCCCCACCAGGCTGGGATACTGGGATTAGGAAACACAATTTAAAAAATGTAGACGTGGGTCTCAGTCTGGTCTCTGTCCCCTTTCCTTTTTAAGATAATTCCAAATTGGCAATAAGCGTGTCCCAACTGGAGGCTAAATCCTGGACAGAAGAACTCTTGCAGACGCAGAAGTTCCTGTCTGGGACAGAGGGAAATGCAGAAGAATAAAGGAGGAGACACGGCGTTCCTTATTGCACAGGCTGCCAGGATGTTTTGCAGCCACCCGTTCACAGTAATTTAATGGTGGATAGAGGAATATTTAATTCGTGTTTTGGATAAGCTCTTGGACAGACACTTTTCCGTCCTGGAAAGAATCCAGCCCCTATTTCTTCTCCCCGTTCATCTCCCGCCACCCCGTCCTGCTGCCCCTCCCTCCAGCACCAGACACGCTCCCCCTTCAAAAACTCACTGACCAGAAAACTGGGAGAGGGGAGCCCACAGCCAGGAGATGGGGGAACGGGGGGCTGGAGAACAGGGAGCCCAGAGCCTGGAGATGGGAGAGCGGGGAGCCCACAACCTAGAGATGGGGGAACAGGGAGCTGGAGAGCGGGGAGCCCACCGGGGCAGCCTGGAGATGGGGGAAATGGGGAGCCCACAGCCCCGAGATGGGGGAATGGGGGGCTGGAGAGCAGGGAGCCCACAGCCTGGAGATGGGACAGAGGGGATCCCACAGCCTGGAGAGCCGGGAGTGGGGCAGGAGCCTTTCTACTGCTCGGCGGGAGGAACTGGAGATTTATCCTGCCAGAGGAACTTAACGCGCCCTCTGCTTAATTGAGTTTGAAGCAGGCAAGGGCTGTGACATCAGGGCTTAGTGCAGATTTTCCCAGCGTTTATTCATCAGCGGAGTTTTGCAAAACAGACCTTATCTGTAGATCTTCTCCCCTCTGGCAAGTCACCAGATAACTCCTGCTCGGGCAAG